CTTAAACAGATATGGAGTCCAGTTGTGTTATTTGATCTCAAGACAGATATTATTTGTGGGTCTGTGTGTTCCCCAAAGCCTATCAAGTTTCTGCCACTCAAAGCTTCAAGCTCCGGGCATGGCGGATAATGATTCATCCTGAAACAGCAGTCACTTCTCTCGTCCCTCAGCAGCCTGCTCAAGGCACTTTTCTCAATCCCCAGCCCTTCCGCCATCATTTCCAGCACTTCACAAGCCATCCCCTTCACTGCCCCTATATACTCCTCCACAGCACACCTGCAAACCAAAACAAATACAACAATTTATCACCTCTGTTCCAGAAAACAGAGCACTAACTCTAAAACAGAGTAAAACAGAGTACTCTGTTGTGTTGGTACCTGAAAATATCGGGATTTTCTTGGAAAATGAAGAGGGATTTTTGAGAAATGAGTTGGGGATTGGTGTTGAGGAGGAGGTATTCGATCCAACCCACGTCGCCGTTGGGGCCAATTCGCTTGCTGCCATATCCAAATGGGTCGGGCGGCCCTGCTTTCTCCTTCTCCATCTGTGGGAGCTCGAAGAATCTCCGAGCTTGGGCTTCGATGGCGGCGATGAGCTCGTCGGAGACGCCATGGTTGACGACCTTGAAGAACCCGAAGTCCTCGCAGGCCTTCACGATGTGGGTCTTCGCGTCCGGGTCCGACAGGTCGATCACCGGAATCCCCTCGAACACGGCGGTGCGTTTGCACGACCTGATCGGAGCAAAATGGTCGAACACCAGCTGAGACTGGACCACCATGGTTACAAAACTCACAACAACAAGAACAACAAGAAGAAGAAAGAAATGGTTTGAATTTGAATTGTGAAAAGGATGAGGGAGGCATTGGCCGAGGCTTCCGTTGGGTATTTATACCATAAAAAAGGCCGAATATTTATTTATTTATTATTAATTTTGCCTTCAATGTTTATCTTTTCAATTCGAATTAGAAAAGAAAGAAAAATTGGACACGGTTTTTCTTTTCACAGAAATAACCAATGAGAATCTATACAAAAATATTTTGTTCTTGTTCTTGGGACCTTTTTTTTTTTTTGGAAAATGAAAAATTATGATTCTTTGATTACTACTTGTAATTGAATATGGTGAGTTTTAAGGCTTTGTCGAATTTTTAGGCTTCAATGGCCTACTCCTCTTTACTACTATGTTGGCCTACTCATCAGTTTACTGTGTCTACAATTCACTAAAACACATGTTCATGTGATGACGTGTATTTTTTCTTATATCTTCTTAATTTAAAAAAAATTAAAAATAAAAGTTGTGTGTGTTTATCAATCACGGTAAATGATATGTTTTTATTTACCATGGAATAAACAACTATATAAATGTAGTTGTCAATTTTTTAATAGTGGTCTGCTCACCCGTAAACATAAAAAAAAAATATATCTTCATAATATGTATATATATACACAGCCTTGAATATTATAATTTATTTATGAAATATTTCTAATAGATTCTTGAATTTTTTATTTTATGTTTAATAGATTCTTGTGGTTGAATTTGTTAATGCAGCGCTTAGGATGACACGTTAATGGTATTATTTAAAGATTATAGAGTAGGTTGATTTTGGACAAGTTTAAAGAGTTTGCTGACCTAAGTATTAAGATGATCCAACTAATGATAAATATCTATTATTTTAATACAAAATTGAAAGTTGATTAGTTTATTAAATACAATATTAAAGGTTTAATGATCAATTAGATTTTTTATGTTCATGAAAAATCAAGAACTAAACTTATAATTTAATGTAAAAAATTACTTAATTTTATTTAGAAATTTTATTATAAAAATTTTAGTGTTTTTATTTTTTAAAAAAGTGATTAATATTGGTGTCAAATCCACGGATGAGCCACAATCTGAATAGTTCTAAGCATTGAATTATTTGATCAGAAGTTGTAAATACACTGTAAATAAGTATCAAACATTTAATTTGATAATAATGGATCTCAAATATTTTTTTAACATATTTATTTTATTTTTCGTTTTCTACTTTTGTCTCTCTCTCTCTCTCTTTTTCTAATGAGTAATCTTCTATATTTTCTAGTTCTTCCTCTATGGAAATTAATGCTATAAAATTTATATTTTTTAATATATCTTTTATATATTATTTTTAGTCATATACAACATATAGAAAAGGATACTCAAATGACAAAAAAAATTTATGATGTAGTTGAGATCCTCCAAAAGGTACCCTTCACTCATATGTTATGTTGACAATACTTAAAAAAAAAAAAAGTAATCTATCAATACATCTCAATGAGGTAATCTCTATTAAATTGGCCACTTTTTAAAAAAACATTAATTAATTGAAGAAAGGAAAATATGAAGTCAAAAATTGTAATAATATTGTCTTGTAAGTTGCAATTAACAAAGTAAAAAGAAAACTAAGATTATATAATATATAGATTTTGTCTAATCAAATATTTTGAGTCCATTGGATGGTGTGCAAAGTGATTGAACTTTTTACCAATAATCCAAAAGTGGAAATAAGATGGATTCATTTCTCATATGAAATCCTCTCTCTATATCATTAAATGGTAAGATTCCTACCTCATTTGGAAATAACATAACAATTGAGAGTGACTCTTTCACACCAAATTGCAAACTATCATAAATTTTCAATAATCCCATTAAGATTGGCCAATACATATAAAAGCACAACTATACTAAATATATACTTTAATTCTAGAATCATTTATTTCCCTCTATTCTAGCTTCAGATTTGGCTTAAGCTTCGGATTCTTAAGATTAGGGAGAAACAAGAGCTTTTGGTTTGGATGCTTTGGTGGGTTCCAATGAAACAGAAAAATCTTACTCTTCAATTCGACATCCTCGAGTGATTATGTGTATGCTTTTTAAGAGTTTTAATTTCTATATGATATTTTTTAAGTTTCATTGTCACTTAATGGTAATAGAAAGATGAATGTATAGATTTGTAATTGAGTTTATTATTACTTTTATGAAACTCTTAGTCTTTTTTTGTATTAAACTTTTCATAGGTTTATTTTCAATGGCAAGACAATTTAGGTATATTTTGGGTTAAGATAAGTTACAATGAGTCTCACACGGTAGATTATTTTATTTTATATTTTTAGGTTGTTTTTTCATTAAATTAAAGTATAAAGTATAAAGGTTTTTTTTGACTCAATTAGTAAAAATGTGCTTCTTATATTACATAATCATTTTGTGAATAATTTTTTATAATAAAATTTTGATCGAAAAAGAATTTAATATAGTACATGCTAATATTTAGACCATGTTTCATGTACGTAGAAATGTTGGTCTAAGACTTATGTTTGAACCATGAATACATCTATTCACAAATTATATTGCAAATAATTACATTGTTTATTGATAATCGCTAGTTTATATAACTAGCTAAACTTATTTTATAATTCCTTTATTCTATTTGAAAACAAAAGTGATGTATTTACAATGTCAATAAAATCAATAAATACTCGATTAATGACAAATGTGTGACGATTAAGATGGTTAACATGTCTACTTCAATAGTTTTCATAATCTTAGAGACAATATCGACAATCAAATAACGATTGATCATCTTTTGATCATTTGTAACGATATTTAAAACCTATAGAAAGAATTTATTTGAAGGTTTAATATGAAGCTTCAAACTATTTGTGATATAAAAGGTCTAAGATAGATGATTAATTTGATACCCATTATAAAACCTCTTTTATTTTTTAATCCACATATTGATTCTTGTGTCTTTCCAATTTCAATCATATACATGATGATAATGATTAGGAACTCTATTCATACCTAACATTACAGCAATATATAATTTTTATATATTAACTATCAAACAAAGTAATGAAATATTGGAAATTGACAAATTTATTAGTATTTGATAATATAAAAATTAAGTCAAATACATTTTATTAAAAAGAAAAAGAAAGTCAAATCATCTATTTTAGACATCTATTTTTTTCCTTCAAGATGGAAAGTTTAAATCCTTATATTCTATATTTTTTTTATTAAAAAAATGATATTACTTATTTTTCTTAAAAAAGAAAAACCTAATGCTAATAATATTATGAGCCAATTGTTATATTTAACGTGAAGTATCTACCTTACTATTATTCTATTAAAAAATTTAATTCTTTTTAATTGAATATACTAATATATATTAATTTTAATTTCAAAATCAAATTAGTGAAGTTTGTTTTTATGAGATATTACATTAAAAAAAATTAGAAAAATAGATTTCAAAACTACTCAGAAATCTTATAGTTTTAAATTATGCTCGATTGATAAATAAATGAATGGAGTGGTTGAAAATAGTAGAATAAAGTCAATTTGGAAAATTATTTTATATATACATAAATATTTATTTATTTATGTCTGTACGTTTCCAAAATTTGGTATGTTTTGACATTTTTCAAAAGATTACTTTGTGGGCAGCATGTCATGCCACAAACAAATTAAAATATCAACCTTTTAAATTCAGACCAACATGTATTATATATTCGAACAACGTTGGCATTTGAGGATCATATATTTTTATTTCTAACAAAAAAAAAAAAAAAACCTGTCCACAACTAATTTCTTAAGAAAAGAAAAAAAAATTCCTTTCAAAGTCTTTTCAATTTCTTAAATGTAATTTTCATTTTTTTTCCTTTTTCAACATTTTTAGTTAATTGATTAAATGCATTATGTCGATGATTGACGCAAGATGGGGTCACATGGCTTTTAAAATAGTGGAAAATGTTTTCAACACATTAAAAGTAATTTTAATAACCTTTCTAATATTTTTTTTAGAAACAAGACATCATTTCATTGAGAAAACTTTAGATATTTGGTTTCACAGTAAGGGAAAAAAAAGCTTGGAGTGTTCTCTCATCGTACTTTTCGTTTTAGCTCCACAGATGTAGAATAGAGGTCGAACATTAATTTTAGAGAAGATATTGGTTCTCTTATCTATTGAGCCATGTTCAAACTTACTTCCTAAGAATATCTTCCTAAAATATTTCACCCAATTTTGTTACGATATTTTGACGAAAAATTTCACTGCATGGTACAAATTTAATACGACTTATTATTTTCAAACATATCAAATTTCTCGTGGTATGTTTTGTTATATTATGTTTAAGTTTGAGTTGACAACTCGGGTATAATTCAATTAGTCAAGACCTTTATTTCCAAATAAGCGGTCGTGGGTTCAAATTTTCACCCAGTAAAGATGCTCAGTTAAGTTTGAATCCTCGTGCAATGCTCGAGAAATATGACCTAAATAATAAATGAATCAAAAGAATCAAAATCAAATTAATTCAGTTGATAGTTTTTGGTAAAATTAAAGGTGATAACCGAGACAGCAAGGTCAGAAGACAGGTAGGTCAGTTGGTTTGCCCTAATATTCTCCTGATGCCATTCTTTTCTTGTTGAAACATTATTAAAGAAATTAAAACACATGCGACATATATTGATAAGATGTCATTAATTTCATAATATAAAAAAACATCTACAATTTACAATCATTTCATTGGTGGGCAGCCAACCCTAATAAATAATATTGTTCCCCTAGCTTTTTTTTTCCTTCCTTTTATTTTTTTTTCCACTTCTTTCACTTCATTCTGAAAAGAAATTCGAACTGCCCCCTTCACATTACAGAAAATCTTTGAGCACTTTTTCTTCAAAAACTTCACTTTCTTTTATCATTTTCAATATCTAACTCTTTGTCTTATCAGCACTTTATAGGTTTCAAAGTAAAGAAAAAATAAAAATATAATGATAGAAAAAAATAGAATGCAGCCGTCTATGATCTCTAAGGTTGAAAAATCTGTTGAAATATGACCTAAA